GCCCCAGGACCCTGGATAAGTTGCTTTCCCTCTGTCTATGCCTGTTTCCTTCTCTGCATCATGGAATCACAGCAGCTATTTCTACAGGTTGCTAGGAGGATGGGTGATGAAGATCAGCCCAGCCCAGCCTAGCATGTAGTGTTGCTTGGTCTATGGTAGACCCTCAGATGAGCACCTAGGACAAGCTCCCCCAAGACACTTCCTGTAGGGGATTAGGGTGAGCCAGAGAGCTGGGTCTCCCAACCTCCCACCTTGCAGCCCTCTTGGGTTGAAGTTCCTCTGGATTCTCAAATACAAGATGTGGCAATGCTCTTTGCAGTCATAAAGCAAGTAGTATGGAAGCCTGTGGGGGAGTTTGCAGCAGAATAGACAGCTGACAGAAAGACTGGCTGCCTGATGGGGAATAAACAACATTTACTGCACACCTGCTGTGCATGATGTCTGCGCTGACTCCCCACATATGACCAACAGAACCCACTGATAAGACAAAGCCTATTGTTTACTGTGATGAGGGATAATACGGCTCTCAAAGCTCTGGCAGTGGTTCAGAGTGGGGAGGTAAGGTCAATATTTGTCGAGAACTGAAAGTTTGTTTGAAGGCTAGGCCGTAAGCGTGGGGAGGAAGGCAGGGGAGGGAGGCTCGACTGAGATTGGGTAAGAATCGTGATACAACAGTTTGTTGGTAGAAATAACAAGGTAAGGATTTTTGTGGGGAGACATTCAAAGAATCGGAGGCGCACACTCTGTGGATGATTTCCCGTGAAGAGTTGATGGGTCTTTAAGAAGGTAATGAGCAATGAAGCCATTTGTTTGAGCTGGTCAGTCTGGGAAGAAAGAGGAAGAAGAAAAAATGCTAATGAAGACAGTGGACCTGCAAGGCCAAGTTAATACAGACAGTAAGGTATGATTTCAGGCTTTTAGTGTCCAGGCTGAATGTTGGGTGGAAGGATCTGGTTCTCAGTTGTCGCTTTCTGTCCTGAGATGTGGGGATTACAATCCCTGCACTGCAGATGAGGAAGCAAAGGGGCCACTGGTCTCAGGTCACACAGCAAGATTGTAGCCGGCGGGGATTCAAACCTGGGCAATTGCTTCTAAAGATAGTGAGTGTGCATGGAGGGCAGGTCCTCAAGTCTGGTGGTAAATTGGGGCTTGGATGAGAAGCAGAGAAAATCTAGGGCTGGAAGAATGATGCTGTTAGAAGAAGGCGTTAACCTGGAGGGGCCAAGGACCTGCGGAAGGGAGTGGGTTCGGTTGGGCCCTGTGGCCTTGGAGGCACTTGAAAGCTATCAGGAGAGGGGAGGGTAATTGTCCTCAGTGGGGCCTACTGTGTCTCAGGGCTGGGCAGGTGCTAGATGGCTCACCTCCTTGAGGTAGATGCTATCTTCTCATCTTTCAGATGAAGCAATGGCTTAGAAAATGAAAGGGCATGTCCAGGTTCACACAGCTTCTGGCAGAGTTGGGGTTCAGACCCAGGTCTGAGGACTTTGAAACCCAATGCTCAGTCCCACATCCGCCTGGATTTTCTGTTTGCAGCTGGGAGGTAGCTGGAGGAGGTAGGACTTTTGAGACTTTCCAGCAAAGAACAGGCAGAGAAATCTAGCCTTCCCCATCAGGCTGCTCTCAGAAACCTTGGTCCTCATCACCCCGGATTCAGCTGGTATGAGGAATGCTGATTCTTGCCTCTGGAGGGGGCAGCTAGAGGCAGAGCCTCTGCCTTACAGACATTCAGAGTCTTTGAGTGAACTGAAGATCTCAGGCTGACAGACGTTCAGGGTAACTGTCTGACTGGCCAGCTAGTTAGTTCAGCCTGCCTGAACAGGCAAGTTTCCTAAGAGACAGCCAGACCAATGACTTACCAGCTGATGGACGTGAGTGGGCCTGAGTGAAGAGCCAGCCATGTCCCCAACTGACAGGCACACCGACCCCTTGCCTCCCAGCTCTGGGAATGCAGGCTCCAGCCCTAGGATACACCTGGCCTACCTGGAGCCTCCAAACCTGGTTGCCCACCTGGAGAGAAACAAGCTGGGATTTTTTTTCCTAGGGTCTAGCTCCCTGCCTCTCCCCTCATGCCCACCTGCCCCCTCATCTGTGAGGGGTGACCCCTGACAAAATCTTCACAGGATGGGAAGGTCCTCAGAGATGTCACAGGAGGAGAATGTACTTTCCTGAACTCAAGACTCTCCTTCTGAGGGGGGCTTTGTTCTTATTCAGAGTCAGACTATTTGTTGCTGGTCTACTCAGAGGCCTCAGCCCACAAGAAGAGCTTGAAGAGGCCTGGCTACCTGCCTGACCAGCCCCATTCTGTGACCACCTGACCACCCAATGGCTGCTCTCAGCTCCCAGGGGCCATGGCTTCCCTCCTTCATCAGGAGGCTCAAGCTAAAGACTAGCCCACAGGAAGGCAGAAGATTCTATGTTGGTCCACTGATCTTCTGTCCCCCTGTCTTATCTATATCCTGGACTTCTTTCAGAGCTGGGCCTCCTGGCCCATGACTTCTGCCCTCCCAGATTCAGCCTCATCATCCGGTTGACCTGGCCCCCTGGTGGGTTGGCACTGTCACCTTTCAGGTGGCCTGGTTAGGTTTGGTTAGGCCACAATAGAGAAGAGTGCTGTGCTTCTTCCCCTCATCAAACCTGTGCCAGGAGCATGGCGTGATGTTGAGGCTAACGCCTGGGCTTGAGTCCCTACACTGGCACTAACCGGCAGAGCTTGTTACCTCTGGGCCTCAGTGTCCTCCTCAGGTGCAAGAGATAATGAAAGTGCTAAGGCCCAGAGCTGTGGAGAGCCTTCAGGAACATGGAGAGCCTGCACATGAAGGCGTAGCTGTATGTCAAGCAGGTAACACAGCCTCCGTGCTATAGTAGGTGATTCGTTTATGCTGGTGAGAGAAACCAGGGCTTGGAAATGGGCCTACCAATCTCCTCTGGGCAAGTTCGCTTGGGAACCCCCCCGCACCTCCTTTTCTCCTTCTAAATGACCTCCACAGAGCCCGTCCCTTCGCTATGCCAACCCCTTATCTCCTCCCTGTCAGGTGGATTTTGTTTCAATATCTCCTTGTTTTCCCTACATACTAATGCCACCCAAAGACACTCTTCCCCAGCCACACACACACTTCCATTTCTAAGCTTTTTGAATAGACATTTCTCCAAAGAAGGTACACAAATGGCCAACAAGTACACAAAAAACGCTCAACATCATTAGTCATTAGGGAAATGCTAATCAAAACTGCATGAGATACCACTTCACACCCACTAGGGTGGCTATAATCAAAAAAGACACAATACTAAGTATCAGCAAGGATGTGGAGAGATTAGAACCATCATACACTGCTGGCAGGAGTATAAAACAGCACAGTCACTTTGGAAAACAGTTTGGCAGTTTCTTAAAAAGTTGAACAGAGTTGCCATATGACCCAGGAATTCCACTCCTGGCTGTATACCCAAGCGAACTGAGAACATATGCTGACACAAAAATGTGTACATGTGAACATTCACAATCCCCAAAACAAACAAAATGTGATTTATGTCCGTACCGTGGAATATCGTCCAGCCATAAAACGGAATGACATACTGATGTGCTCTGTAACACTGGGCTATGTGAAAGCAGCGAGACAAAAACTTATGTATTGTACTATTTCGTTTGTATGAATTTATGTTAAATATCCAGAATAGGCAAACCCAGAAAATAGATCCACAGTTACCAGGAACTGGGAGGAGGAGGGAGGATTGCTACCAGGTGTGGGGTTCCTTATTGAGACGATGGAAATGTTCTGGAATTAGCAGTGATGATGTATGCCTTTTATAATATAACAAAACCACTTAATTGTGTCCTTTAAAAGGATGGAGTTTATGATGAATTAACCTCAACTGAAAACAATTCCTCAGGCTCCCAGTTATCTTGTGTGAGGAATGCAAACCCTTCGCTGGGTGGTGCCAGGCCTCTATGGCTCCTTTCTGAGTTTGCCTTCAGGATCTGGAGATGGAGAATCCCCACATTCCTGCCTGGGTCAAGGGTGGCCTTGAGTCGGTTTCCAGACCCCAGAAGGAGCTTGTTGAATGAAGGGAAACTCCTGCCAGGTTAAGAAGCATATGAAACAATGGGGAAGGCTTCCTCGGGAAGTGGACGGGAGGAAGGCTAAGGGGGCCAGGTTTCCATTTAGGTGGAAGGGTGGAGCCTCCCAAGGCTGGACTTCCCGAGCTCCTCACTGAGATCAAATGTCAGGAGACCCCAGGAGATGCCCCTGAGGGAGTTCAGCTTTCCTCTCACTACAGTGAGTGGGATACTGGCATGGTTACCAGGGAGCAACCCAGACATGCCTAACGGGGCCAAGGATCCAGGTTCTAACCACACCTCTGCCTCCTGAGTCATCTCCACCCTTGGGGAGTTCATTTTGTCCAGGATGAGGAAGGTGGTTACATGGGATGATCTTTCTGCACGGATCAGCAACATGGTTTGATGTACGAGTTGGAACTGGGCTAGGTAGCTCTGTGTTACGGGCAGGGTGCTGGTGTCTGCTCTGAACTACGCCCAGGAAAAGCCGTTATGCCCTGACTAGGGACTGAGCCTTGACCCTGTACCTGATCCTAAAGCTGTGAACCTATACTGAGTCAGACAGACGTACAGCCAGACTCAGCCTCCAGGAGCACCGGGTGTCTCACAACTACAGGCCCAAATGGGGCTAAGCCTGCGTGTTCTTACTGCCGGAGTCCCTGCTTGAAGGCTACATAGTGTGGCCAGCAGCTTCTCCCTAGAAGGAAGGTTATGCTGGGATTGGAATGAAGATGTGAGGCAGGTGGTCCCAGCTGGGATCCGGCTAGCGTGGCTACATGGGCCACATACCCTCTTAGGAAGGGTCCTCCCATCGCTGGGCCTCAGGAAGCCTGAAGGTGCTCAGACTCTCAGATTGTTGCCAACCTGCAGAACACCTTGGGTGACCTGGGTCAGGGCCATTCTCTGGGACCCCATCTCCACTCTCCCCTCCTTGCTGTCTGTCCCACAGGGCCAGTGGGTGAGGAGGCCCAGATGCCAGACAAGGACACCAAGGCCATGATGAGTGTGGAAGACACACCTGGAGGCAAAGCCTGCCCAAACCCTCAGGACTTGCGGCCAAGTGTGTTCTACAGCATCAAGGTATCACTCAGGGCCTGCCGGGAGCGGGGCCATCTGAACCCTGTAGGGAAGGCTGTGTAACTCCAAGCAAGCTGCTGCCTTTCTCTGAGCCTCAGTTTTCTCATCTGCAGAATGGGCAGCTGTGAGAACCAAAGGGATAATCTACCAAAGCATTTAGCTTGATGTGGGGCACCTGTTCCTTCCTTCCAGCGAAGAAAGAAGGGGCTGCTCTGTGTCAGTGGAGGACCAGGCTCCTTGCCTCCCATTGCCCCAGAGGGAAAGAAAAGGACCTCAGGAGTCTTGAGTCTGTATGACTGCTGGGGAGCTCTGTCCTCCCGGGGCAGCCCTGAACATCCAAGCATCCCTGGGTGCCCGGGTCTGTGCCACGTGCTGTCTTACTCAGTTCTCACAGTAGCCCTGAGTGGTGCGGATGTTGTCCTTGCTCTATCCAAGAGGAAACCAAGACTCAGAAAAACAGTGAATATTTTTAAGCTCCGGCACCAGCCCCCTTCTTTGAAGCTAGTGTTTCTTCTCCTGGGAATTTTGCCAGCTTGCCGGGAGGCAGGCAGGGATGTTCGGGGCAGGGCTAGGTGGGGTGGGCAGCTTGAGGATTCTGTGTCTGCAAGTGCTCTCCCAAGGGAGCCCTGGGGAAGGAATGGGTGGGCTGGGGTGGAGGGGAGCTTCCCAGGGAGAGGGGCGGGTGGCGAAATAGGGAGGGGGGTCCAGTCCAGCCCAGGGGAGCTCTGAGGGTCAGAGTGGCTCCCATCATTCTTGGCCCCAGGAAGACCCAACTCCCCGTCATGTGGGAATCAGGTGGCGCTGTGACCCCCTGGATATACCTAGGACAGCTTGTATCATTTTTAGGCCTGTAGGAGAAGCCATGGGCTACTCCAATAACACTGTGTGTGTGTGTGTGTGTGTCTGTCTGTCTGTCTGTCTGTGTCTCTGTCTCTTGTCTCTCTCCACCTCTTATTCTTACCTCTCCCTCTTTCTCTCCTGTGTGTCTATCTCCTCTGACTCTGTTTCCCCATCTCTGTTCCTTGCTCCTCCTTTTCCCCAACTCTGTCTCCTAACCCCCACCCCCTCTGGCTGAACCCCCACCCATCTCCCTGCTCCCCTGCCGGCTGCCACCGCCCTGCCCGCCCCCCCCCCCCGCAGTTCTTCGTCCTGTGCCACAGCCTGCTGCAGCTCGCACAGCTCATGATCTCCGGCTACCTCAAGAGCTCCATCTCCACGGTGGAGAAGCGCTTCGGTCTCTCCAGTCAGACCTCAGGGCTGCTGGCTGCCTTCAATGAGGTACTGGCCCTGGTGCAGTCACAGGGGTGGGTGTTGAGGGAGACCCTCATCCCCAGCTCCTCACCCTCTTCTCTCACTACCCTGACCTGAACCCTTCCCTTCCTAGTGCCCACAGGCAACCCCATCAAAGCTTCCTCCCCAAATCTCCTTAGCCAGCTCCTTTTCATGTCCTGGTAGAGAAACTGACCTCTGCCTCCTTGTAATGTCAGAGTACTGGTGGTCCTGCCCTTGGGGGCATGCGAATGGTTGGGGTGTGGGAATTCCCCTACCATGGTTGGGGTGTGGGAATTCCCCTACCACCCACTCTCCCTTTGGAGCCTTTACCTGGCTATTGCCTGTCCCAGGAAGAAATCAGAGGAAGTCACTTCAACAGCAGTAAGATTTAAGTTAGATCAAAGGCAGGACTCTGGGACCACTGGTGGTGCAGGGAGGGAGCAATACCATGGCATGAGTCTCTCCTCAGAGTTGCCCAGAGATCCCTAAGTCTGGGGCCAACAGCCAAGCAGGGAGGAGTGGACAAGCTACTTTGGGGGGCTTTAGAGATCAGGATCCAGCTATGGCCCCTACCCCCTCCACCAGATGTTTTCCATCTCAGAGAAGGTCACTGTCCAGAGAAGTCTCTTCCTCCCTACCCCACACCAGATTTCTGTGTGAGTCTCTCCCCTTGGGATGATATGTCACATTTCTTCCAAGCCGAGGCCTGGAAACTACACGGCATCCCCAGATATTCCTCAGACCTCACCCCCAGATGTCAGAGGTGGGAAGGAAACGTCATTACCTAGCTATGGGACCTGGGGGAAGTCATCCCCCACCTCTGGGTCTCAGTGTTCCCCTATAAAATGGAGAGTGGCCACCCTTCTCAGAGTTGGTCCTCCTACCAACTGTCTTGTGAATACTGCCTCCCTCCAGTAGCAAGGAGCCTGGGGCTGGGAGTGAGTATAACAGCCAAGAAGCAGTGATGTGGGCAGCACCCCCCAGCTTCTGGCGATAGAGCCTGCCCCTGCCCTGCAAGTTCTCAAGGCCCCTCCAGTGCCCACATCCTCAGTTTTTTATTCTAAGGCTTGAAATTCCAAGCCTTAGTCCTCTGGCTTCGGGTCTTACTTATTTGTCTCAGTCATGATATCCCAGAAATTTAAAAACCCTTTCCTTGACTCTTCCTTGTTCCAACATGGGCTCTAGCCTGTTTTCCAGCATGAAATCGAACTTCTAGTCTTGTCCACCCTGCCCTCATTTCTCTCCCCTAATGCGACATTGGGGCCCCTCCTAGGAGAACCCAGAATCCGCATAAGAGGTGCCCAAATGATTCTCATTCAGTTAGCTAGTCCTTCATACTGATGGGAACACCAGACTGGTGACAGAAGCTGGGGTGGTCCTGGCCTCTGGTGGCTCTGCTCCACTTGAATGGGTCCCCTCATCCCTTGGCAGGTGGGGAACACAGCCTTGATTGTGTTTGTGAGCTACTTTGGCAGCCGGGTACACCGGCCCCGACTGATCGGCTATGGGGCTGTCATTGTGGCCCTGGCAGGCCTGCTCATGAGTCTCCCACACTTCATCTCGGAGCCATACCGCTACGACCATACTAGCCCCGGTAAGAGCAGGAAGGGCTGGGCTGGAGATGGACGTGAGGAGCCTGATACTATGCACCAGGGCCCATTGGTCAGGATGGGCCCAGCTTCCTGGGGCACTTGCTGGTCTTCCCCACTCCCTCGGTCCCATTCTGGGTGGGTCCTTCTGGAAGTCCTGGGAGTGGGGTTGTTCTGGGGCAAAGGAGTGAAACCCTCCAGGCCCCTCTTAGTAAGGGCCTGCTTGTGTGTCACTGTATTTTTGAGGTGGGGTAAACTTACAACAAAGCCTACCTTAGGACCTGGCATGCAGTAGATCCTCAGGAAATGTGTGTGGAATAATAATAGTATCACATACCACTCATGGTGTACCAGACACTGTTCTTCCAAGTACTTTATGTGTATTAGTGTATTTAATCCTCACAAGTAGCCAAGACATTAATGTGAAAGAATGAATGAGTGCATAAACAAATTTAAAAAATGAAAGAATTTTAGATAGGAAGCCCAGTGAGATTTTGTTGAGGGTCAACTGGACAGGTAGATGCCTGTCTCTTGGAGAATAACCCAAGCAGCCTGAGCTTCATTCCTTCAATATTCCATCCACCCAATCCAGCTACCCACCCATCTATCCACCCTTCCATCTATCCATCATCCATCCATCCATCCATCCATCCATCTAGTGGTCCACCTAACAAACCCTCAGTACAGCCTACTTTGTGTCAGACCCTCTCAAGGAACTCAGTCTTGCTTCCAGAGAGCTCCCAGAAGAGGAGATAGAGGCAAACAAAAAGCCTGCATTGTGTCACTTGTGTGAGGAAGGAAGCACAGGGACTGGCCTAGCGTGGAAGCCATCCCAGGGGAAGAGGGCTGTCTGAGAGCATGGCCTCCTTTGCCTTCCCATCAGCTCACACGCCAGAGCTCTCACTCTGTGCCAGGCCCAGGGGCGGTAATGTGGAGTATTATGACCAGCCCCAAGAAGCTCCCAGGGAGGCACAGGTCAGAGGCATGGGCAGCTCTGCTTTGGGGTGGAGACAGAGCTAGCAGAGCCCTGAGTGTAAGGAGAAGGTGGGTGTTTCAAGTGCAGGAAGCCACAAGAGCAATGGCCATGAAGTGGGAAAGTAGAGAGTGTACGTGAGCAACTCAGAGTGGTCCTCAAGGCCTGAGTGGAGAGCTGTCAAAGCCCTTATTGGAATGCTAGGGAAAAATCCCCACATTTCTGGGTCCAGAATTTTCACTTTGACAGAGTTTTCACTTTGGCAGAATTTTCACTTTAACAGAGCTTTTCCTGTGCAGGGTCATACACTTCTTCACCCTCCCCATCACACAACATCCCTCTGCCCTGAGCACCCTGTGAAAGCCTGAGCCTGTCTCAGGTGAGCAGGCGAGGCTCGGTAACATCCAAGCACCCAGCCTGCTCTGGCATCCCAGACTATTTCATTCATTCATTCTTCATCCAGTAATGGATTCGTGTCTTTATCGCTAATACTTCTGCACCAGGCCCCCTGCGAGGTACTTCACAGGGGTGCAAAAAGAAGCCAGAGCCCCATAACAATCATGACCTCTAACGTCTAGTAGGTGCCGTGCATGGGCGGCACTCGGCACTCTTCATGTTTACGGCCCTGCAGCCGTAGGTGTTATCAGCATCCTATTTTACAGGTGAGGAAACCGCTGTTCACAGAGAGGGGGATACCCTCAAGGCCCACAGCTAGTGATGCCATGACATGTCCAGGTAGCTTGGCCCCCAAGGTCCCACTCCGGATCACTGAATTATTCTGTTTCTGAATTCTGGATTTCCGTAGAACTTCTTATTCTAGGAAACTTTTGAAAGATGATGAAACTGAGGCCCAGATGGGCTGAGGGCCTCTGTCCAAGTCTCCTAGTCTTCAACTCACACACCTTGTTTGAAGGTCCAGGTCCTTGACCCTGGTTCATGTGGCTTTTTCTCAGAGTCCTGGCTGCCAGAAAAGGTGGGGCAGGCCACAGAGAGAAGGCCACCCATATTTGGAATAATAATAGCACGAGGGTCTCTTTAAGTTTGCTCACCAAATATTGGTGAGCTCCAGGGAGCAACTGTCTGCTACTAAATTAAGAAATTCTCCTTTACTGAACTCTGCATCTGTGTCCTGAGCTGACACTGAGCCCACCCAAAATGAAGGCCAAGCACACTAGAGCCTTCCACCGTCCAAGCCCCAGCATCCCTCCCCGGCCTGGCTGTGCCTTCAGTCCTGTTGCTCACATTCTGTGAGTCAGCCATGCTTAACTTCTCAAGCCCCTGGGTTTCACTCTGCTGTGACCTCTCCCTGGAACACCCCTCCCACCTTCTCTCTCTTGAAAAATTTGTTTGTTCTTGGTCCCATTCAAACCCAATCTCCTTTGACAGCCCCAGCCCACCCAAAATCCACAGTTGCCATGGCACTTCCCCATATCTCTGCTCGGAGAGGTGGCATGAGGTAGTTTAAGAGTATGGACTTGAATCTGAGCTGCCTGGGTTCCGATCCTGGCTCTGCCTTTCCTAGCTTCAGTTTCCTCATCTGTGCAATGGGGTAATGAGAGCATCAATCCCCTAGGTTTGTCAGGAGGGAGGGAGTCAAATGGTTTGTGTACATAGCACCTAAAATGGTACCTTGCATCCAGTGCATGCTGTATAAGGGTCTTAGCTATCGTTATAATATTTTTTATCATCTCTTAGTAGACATGCCACAGGATTATGAGGCTTCTCTGTGCCAGCCCACAACCTTGGTCCCAGCCCCAACCCCAGCCCCCTCCAACAGCAGCTGCTCAAGCAACACGGAGGCCCAGCATCTGGCTGTGGTGGGGATCATGTTCATGGCACAGACCCTGCTTGGTGTGGGCAGTGTGCCCATTCAGCCCTTTGGCATCTCCTACATCGATGACTTTGCCCACAACAGCAACTCACCTCTCTACCTTGGTAAGAACCGGGCTCGGAGGGAGGTCCAGGCTCGGGAATAGGAGGATGCGAGGACCAGGTAGGGGCTGGGCATGAGTTCCTGACCTCTGCCTTGTCTGGTCAGTAAAGCCTGGAGAAGCCCTGGAGCTTTCTGGGCCTGACCAGGGGAGATGGGCTGCTCTTGCCTATTGGAGACTGGGCAGGCACTGATCTGCTAAGGGAAGCCAGGGCCAGAGGGGCCTAATGCAGGCTTCGTGTTGCAGGGATCCTATTTGCAGTAACCATGATGGGCCCAGGTATGGCCTATGGACTGGGCGGCCTCATGCTGCGCCTTTATGTAGACATCGACCGGATGCCAGAAGGTGAGCCTCAAAGAGCACACAGTTGTTCCCAGGGGCACACAGATGCTAGCTCACTGAGCACTGGCCTCATAGGAGACACTGAGCCGGGGGCTCATGTTCAAATCCCAGCAACCCCACTGACCTTGGACATGCCTCTTAACCTCTGAGCCTCAGCTTCTTCATTTTTTTAAAAAATATTTTATTTAAAAAAAATATTTTATTTATTTATTTGAGAGAGGCAGAGACATAAGCTCCCTGTGGGAAGCCCACTGTGGGACTTGATCCCAGGACCTCGGGATCACACCCTGAGCCAAAGCAGATGCTCAACCACTGAGCCACTCAGGCGTCTTGCAGCTTCCTCATTTTTGAGACACTCTCCCTCCTGTCCCCCTCCCAAAGCTGTGATCAGAATCCAGTAAGAGATGAAGAGAGGCTGTAGAACACCATCAGATGGGCAGTCGTGTTATCACTATTATTACACCTCTTCACCTAGTCCCATCCCTGAGCTCCCCCAGACCCCAGCCCATGCTCAGATACACTGCAGGGCAGACAGGGGCACATACTCTCTTGGGCTGTAGGGAGCTCCCATCTTTAGGGGGAACAAGACCCAGGTGAAACAGAGAAGCCTGCAGGAGAGAACGTCTGGAGCAGGACTTGGTGAGCTTGGGCCTACCTCAACTGGGAAATTTACTGGGTGACCTCGAAGGACCCTTCCAGTCCTGACCACGTCAGAGTCTGGGAACCTGTGCCGAGGGCACCACTTAAGGAACAGCAGTCCCTGATCCAAGCAGTGGTTGGGGTGGTCCAAGGAGTGGGACTGAAGCTTGGTGTGAAGGCAACCAGGAGTGGGAGGGGGAAGGGTCCCCAAGCTCTGGCGCCCTGCAAGGAGTAGGAGAGGATTCCTCTCACCTGGAGATTTTCAGCAAGCCCTAGAAACCTCAGGGGACACACATATGAATGGATGGACACGCAGATTCAGCTTCTTGCTCTCTAGCTTTTGCACAAGGGTGCCTCCTGGGCAGCTCTGAACAAGACACACTAAGCATAGCCCTGTCCCACCCTCCTTCCTTCTAGAAAACTGGTACCATGAGCCAAGTGTGAGTTCTGGTTGTCTTCCTTGGTTTTCCCAGACATGCCCCACCCAGCTTCAGGGAAGGTGGGGTATTTTCTGGCTCTGTTGACATCATCGTGGCAGATGGGGCTCCTCCACTGGCAGATGTGGTATTCCTGTAGATTGATCTTCCTACCCTTTCCCTATGGGGGATTTCATGGGGTGGGCAGATCACAGGCACAGATGGGTGTGTAAGAAGCAGAGGAGTCAGGGAGATGCCTGTGTTCGTACTCATCAGGCTGGCAGGGGGAATAATAGGTGGAGGAGGAATTAGTGCAAAAGCCAACTTCATCCCCAGCTTTACAGATACATTTTCTGGGTGCCAATTGTGTACTCTGGACCCTGGCCAGGAGAGCTCAGGACCAAGTACCTGGGAACCAGCCCTACTCATGGAGTTGGTGTCATTATGCATTGGTGCTGCTATAAAGTTGTTTGCGGATGCTGTGGCAATTGAGGGAGGAGGTATCTAACTCAGCCTTGAGGTCAAGGGCTTGGGTGGGAGATGTGGGCACTCCAGCCAGGAGACACATCTGGAATAATCTAGTCCCAATTACACCTGGGGAACCTGTTAAAGGTCAGACTCCTCGGTCACCTTCCCAATCCACCCCATGGTAGTTTTAAGTTGGTTTCGGATATTTTTGACAAGCACCCTGGTGATCTTAATGATGCAGGTCTGAGATGTACAAGAGTAGTCCTAAGCATCAATTTAATAATAATAATAATCACAACAGTAATGGTAAGATGAGGAAGAAGAATGAATATCTTTATCGCACATACCGTGTGCTTTACATGCATTGGTTTCTATGATTCTCACAACGATCCTGTGATGTAGGTACTCCTATTGTCTGTATTTTACAGAGGAAGAAACTGAGACAAAAAGAGGTTAAATGATTTGCCCAAGGTTATGTTAGTAATGGAATTCAGACTCAGCAGTCCATTTCCAAAGTCCATTACCTTGACCACTAAACACAATGCCTCAGTAGTTGAAAAGCTGAGGTCCAGGAAGGATCAAAGCCTTGTCTAAGGTCACACAGGACGTAACTGGCAAAAGCCATAACTGGAGCCTCGGTCTCCTGACTCCTGGCCCAGACTACCCCATGTCTCCAAAGGCCAGTCCCAGGGTGGTGGCCAAGAAATGACGGCCCATCCTGATCCTAACACCATGGTCTTCTCTTCCAGGTGGTATCAGGCTGACCTCAAAGGACCCCCGATGGGTGGGTGCCTGGTGGCTGGGATTCCTCATCTCTGCTGCTGCAGTGGCCCTGGCCGCCATCCCCTACTTCTTCTTCCCCAAGGAGATGCCCAAGGAGAAGCATGAGCTCCGCTTTCGGCGAAGGGTCTTGGCAGCCTCAGCCTCAACGGTCAGCAAGGTAAGCCCCCTCCAAATTCTCACCCTGGTCCCAGCTCCAGCCCCCACCCACAAGTCCTCCCTTGTGACTTTAAACCTCATCCTTCCTGGGCACTACAATTCATGGCCTAACAAGTCATTCTGTCCAAGCTCCACGGCATCCCCCAACAGCCCCGCACATGAATACGGCCTGCCCCTTCCACAGCTGACATCAGGGGCCAGAGGAGGAAGTGACCTAGCCAAGATCACAGGCCAGCAAGGACAGCACTGGGATGAGAACCCCAGGCGGGCTGAGCCCATGCCCTCTGTCTAACCATCACACTGTCCGCCTCTCTGCTTGTCACTTCACGGTTTTTGTGAGTTCTAAACATGTCATGCTGTAGCAATATTGAGAAATAGGAGGAGGTGAGAATGTAGGAGGGGGGGGAGATTGGTCGGACAAGACTTCTCTGAAGGGGCAGGATTTGAGCTGGACTTTGAAGGATGGTAGAAGCCTGGGGAGCGGGCATTCTAGGTGCGGACACAGCATGGACAGAGGAGTCAGCTGTAGAAATGAATCCAGCCTTTTCAGAAGCAGTTAGGGGACAAATGCATATTGAGTGCAAGCTCTGGGCCAGGTGCCAGGCCGACACTGGAGCTCAGCACATGGCCTCTACCCTTAAGACAGGTGCGGCCTAGTGGGGACCAAGATTCATTGATAAGGAGCAAACTGTGCAGTGCTCGAGGGTATCTTGCTGAAACCTGCCCACTCGGCTGAGGGCCAGGTGGCCTTTCCTCGGAGGAGATCCACTGGGCAGGAGAGACGATTTGGGGGTTTTCCAGAGGCTCACCAGAACATGCGGCCTTAAAAACAATCAATTGGCTCCAAAGTACAAAAAAAAAAAATGACAAAACAGAAAGGTTGGATAAAAGTTCAATGTGTCATTAATGTTGACCGTGTCAGGTTTTCTTGAGCACTTACACACATTTCATTACATTCTGAAACTTTGCACGTTCAATATTCCCTTTTCCCAAGTACTCATCCACAACATTTCTGTGACCAAGCGTGTGGAGTGATCTTATTTCACAGGGAAATAATGGTTGAGAAATCACCATCATAAATTATTTGCTGCTAAGTAATTCTAATTTCAAAGGGACGATTTGTAAAAAGCCTGTCGAATATTTTGCAGCAAGAATAATTCTATTTAATGAGGCATGTTGGTGCATTTGAATATGCTTGCTGTGATGTGAGACAGGACTTCCAACTTAGAGCAAGAAAGTTTGGGCCTGGGAGAGAGGGCTAAAAATGTCTTTGTCTAGAAAAGCTAGAATTTGAGCCCCAGTCTGTCCAACCCCAAACCTGGCTGCTCTATGAACCTCACTACCCATCCCCCACCTCTGCTGGAGCATAAGTGTTATATGTGGGAGACTAATGAAAATTGATGTTAGAACAGCCAGTAAGGGCCAGAATAGGAAAGGTCTTGCCTGCCAGCTTCAAGAGCAGCTGGTAGCCCTGGAAGGAGGAGAAACGGGAGTCCCATGGCTCTATCACCAGGTTCTAAGCAGAAAAAGGGACCGAGGGGGTATGTGGGGGGCAGTGGAGGCAGGGAGGCCGATGCAGGAGCTCTGGCTGTGGTCTAGGTGGGAAGCAGTGCGCTGGCAGTGAGCAGGGGCAAAGGGATGAGTCCAGGAGCCACCCAGGAGGGAGACGGCTCAGGCCCGGGTGCTGCTCTGCTATGGGACATCCCTGGACAGCGCAGGGCTGGGCTGGTGCCTGGTTCAGAGGCAAAGGGAGGCAGGCCCTGCAGAGGGACCATTTTCAGGGGAAGAAGACAGCTTGAAACCACAGATGGCCCTTACTGGTTCTGCCTAGCTCAGGCCAGAATTTGAATGAAGTAAGAATTCCTAGAACTTGAGGGAAGAGTTCTTAGAAGTAGGGGTGGTGATAGAGGAAGCAAGGAGTTTCTGGTTATGGGCAATCTCCAGGTTGGACCTTAGATCTGAAGACAGAACATCCAGTTGAGCCATGGGGTGAAGAAGCAAGGCTGAGGCATGTCCGGCTGGGTCATGTGCCAGTTGTGTGACCTTGAGCGAGACACTTCCCTACTCGGTTCTGTCTCGGAAGATGCCAAGGGTCGATTCCTGGAGCAATATTCTGTGTGCCTTGAAGTCTAAGAAAGCACAGTTTCTGGAGGTGCCGCTGCTGTGGTGCAGGCTCCGGGTTTGAAGAGCTGCCGCTCTGTGATGCTTGGAAACCCTGGCTCCCCGGCTGTGAACCTGTCTGGCTGTCTGGATTCATTCTGTCAGCACATTGGGGATGGGGAGTGAGGAAGGAAGGGGGTGAGAGGTTCTTAAAAAAGAATCGAAGGCTGAGAACATGATGATCTGCTTCCAGCAGCTCTCAGGCAATAAATATTGATGTGGGAGGACTTGTTCTCCCGCCTCCCCGAGGCAGCCTTGGCCAACTCTGCTTGCAGTTACTCTGGCTGGCCCAGCCCACTCAGGCCACAGGCCACGGAAGGGGAGGTAGATGGACCAGGAGGAAGGGCCCAGTTAGGCAGAACTGGCAGCCAGAAAGTCCGGGCCCACGGACATGGGAGGTGCAGCTTCTGTAAAGAGTGGGAAGAGTTGGGGGGGGGGGGCTGGAGAGTGAAGGGGAGAATGTTTCTGAAATCCCTTTGAGTAGCTTCTCCCAGGCTCAGGGGTCTCCTAAATACCCTCCTATAGGGAAATGCAGTTTTTAATGGTGGTGTGTAATATAAGGGTTTTATGACCCAGCGAAGCTCTCTGACCTCAGTCTCCTGATCTGTACGATGGGCAGAGGTTTGGAGCAGGGTCTACCCGCTCTGACAGGTTCAATGATGTCTTCTCCAAATGGAGCAGTACATAAAGCCCTTTCACTGTGGTAGAAAAGGGTGCAGCCCACAGCCTCGGTCCCAAGAAGCTCTCAGGCAGCGAAGGAGGCCAGAAGCCGAGAGAGGGATGACTGATGGACAGCTCAGGTTTCTCCCACCACCCGTGCTTGGAGTTCTCTGCCTGGGGGAAGGGAGCGTGAATGGTCTCCACAGGGAAGATTATGAGATGGTAGATGAGGGAGGCCATACAGGACAGGGAGGGCCAGGAGCCCTGCTTTCCTGCCTTTGATTCCGCCCCCTCATGGTGGCTACCCGACAGCCTTCTAGGAGGGAACCAGGGCAGGCCTTGGCTCTCTGGAAGCCTCAGTCTCCCTCTCTATGATCGGCCAGTCTTTAAGGTCCTGTCAGGCCCCAGGACTCCTGGCACATGGGTCTGTCGAGCCTGTGGAGTAGAGATGGCCTCTTCGGGGCTCCCCAGCTGGTCATCTGGCCCTGTCTGTCCTTGTGGTTGCAGGATGCCATTCAGTCAGCGGCCCTCCTGTGTCCTCCATACCCGCAGGTCCCTCTGAGTGGCCATCCTTGGGGCTGGGCCAGGGACTAAGAAAGGCCTCATCCATCGAGAGCCCCTATCCCCACCCAACCTCTGAGCACTACTGGCCTCTGTCACCTTCTCTTCGTTCCTATTACCCAGGAGTCTCCATGTCTGTTATTCTAGGCCATCTCCCAGAGTCTGGGATCCTAGCATACAGTTTTAAAGTTCTGTGTTTCTGGTCAAGATTCTCAAGTGCCTGTGTTCTATGATTCTGTGCCTCCAATGGTCTGTCTTTGGGGTTTGCCTCCCCAAATTCATATTTCTACATGTTTCTATGTGGCTATAATTTTGGCCTATGAGTCTAGGAGTTTATGAAATCTGTTTTCTCCCAATCATGAACCTGATGTGCTTCTGTGGAAGAATGGTCAAGGACAGGGACAGGAATGGGCAGTGGCAGCAACGTTGAGAACTCAGGCCTTAGGGCCAGCTGAGAGGCTTCTGTTCCCATGGGATTCTGTGCTCCTTCTGCAGCCCCTGAGAAGCCCAAAGTAACTCGGGTCTCCCTTGTGCCTGGGTACCTCTCCCTCGCAGGCACTGCCTCCAGGTCCCGCCCAACCAACCTGGGAGCCCTGTCATGTGTCCTTCCATATCCCTGGCAACCCAGGCCTTGTGACTCCACTCCTTGTCGTCCGCCTATGAAGTAGGTTCAGTTATTCCCATTTTACACCTGAGAAGGTGGAGTTACAGAGAGATCAGATAACCTGACTGCAGGGCTAGTGAATGGTGGAGCTGAGATTCAGACCCGGGAAGAGCATCACGGGACCTCACTCAAGACCAAGAGGCAGGAAAATAGAAACAGCAGCAAAAGGGTATCAGAGAGGGAGGAACATGGGAGCATGGACCACACAGATGAACTCAGTTGATACAACCGCTTATTTGGTTCTGAGCTTGCTGGTAGCCAAAGGGAGAAGAGCAGCACAGCCAGTTGCACAGACTCAATGTGAGAAACCCTGAGCATGTCGCAATCCTCAGTGAAGCTCTGATCACTCGGATCTCCAGGCACACTGCTAGAAACAGTCTCCCTCCCTCCCACAGCGGGTAGGAAGTCTAGCAGATAACCCCATTCCCGGGGCTGCTTGCCGTGGCCACGTATGAGGGAAGCTGAGGGCTGGCAGAGAGCACCCTATCACCCGCCAGGGTCAGCGTGGCTCTGTGGGGCTGGGGTCACAGCCCCACACACAGCTTTCTAGGGACACAGCTTCCCCTGAGGGCAGCTTCTGGGGCCCCGGAGGCAGACCGAGGGCCCTTGCATGCACCAGACCACACACAGCATCCTGCACCCCACAGGCCTGCAGCAGTCAGCACATGGCCCCGAGAGGGGAAGTTCTAACCAGCCCCCTCAGCACAGGCCTGCTGACCTGGGCAAACCGCAGCCAGATGTGTCTGACTCCAAGCCCTGCTCGGAGCAGAGCCACAATGCTTCTGGTTCCTGGAGCCGGCTCTTGGTCAGGAGTCCTCAAAACAGATCTGGGGAGAGAGGCACAAACCTGTAAAGAGCACAGGACAGGAGCGCCCAGTGCCCACCTGAAAAAGCTCGAGTCCCTTTGCATGGCCCTCCAAACTGCCCAGCTGCTGCCCCTGCTCCCACCCCAGCCCCTGCTCCCACGGTGGCTTCCCCGTCATCTCCCGCACACAGGCCTTTCCCCCGACCGTGCTTCCGCTCTAGCATGCCTCACCCTTACTGTCCACCCAAATCCCAAACCTCACTTCTCCTAGAGGCCTTCCCTGAGCACCCCACAGCTCTGGAAGATCCACCCCACCCCTGCTATCTCCAAACCCTGTGCTCTTTTTCCCAGCGTGAGATAGGGGTAAGATGGTGGTACTGGAGGACCTACATTCGAGAACCTCCTCTGCTTATTGCTCCTGGGGCCTCTTCTAGGGCCTCAGTTTCCTCTTCTGTGAAAGAGGTGCCATAATGACCTCTTCACCAGGCTGCTGTAGGAATCAGCTGACACAGTGGATGTGAAGGTACTGGGTAGACCACAGGGGACTGGACGTGCAGACCCTGTGGTTGTCTTCACTGTTTACATGAGAACAAGGAACTCAAAAAGATCTTGCCTGTCCAAAGGCGGAGCCTGATTGTCGGTCCCTGATAAGAATGCTGGGAGGGGGACACCTGCGTGGCTCAGTGCTCAGTGGTTGAGCGTCTGCCTTTGGCTCAGGTTGTGGTCCTGGGGTCCTGGGATCGAGTCCTGCATCAGGATTCCCACAGGGAGCCTGCTTCTCTCTCTGCCTATGTCTCTGCCTCTCTCTCTCTCTGTGTCTCTCATGAATAAATAAAATCTTAAAAAAAAAAAGCCACACACTGGGAGATTCTTAGTTTACCTCAGTACCTCCTGCCTCCATTCCTGGGGCCGTACCCCAGCTCTAGCACCCCTCCCTTGGGTCCCAGGGCCCTTCCCCCACCACTCTCCGTACCTTGGCTAGGACAGAGAAAGGTATGAGCAGATTCTGATTCTCTTGAAGGCAACATGTCCCAAAGAAATATTACGTGAGCCACATATGGAATTCTTTTTTTTTTTCACATATGGAATTCTAAATATTAACTGGTAGCACATTTCAAAAGTAAAAGACATTAATTTTAATAATATGTTTAAATTAACCCACCATATCTAAAATACTCTCATTTTAGCCTATCATAAATTTTAAACATTAATAATGAGGTATTTTCCTTTTTTTAAAGATTTTATTTATCTTTTATCAAGCCGGTGCTTGATACTCAATGGCACGATCTCAGTGTGGACTGGCTATATTTCCAGTGCTCAGCCACCACATGTGCCTGGTGGCTGCTGCATCAGACAGCACAAATCTAAGGAGTAAATGAATAACAGAGCCACAGCGCCTCACCCAGTGATTTAGACTGTGGGCTTTCAGGCCCCTTCAGAGTACTCCACAAAGGTGCCTCCACGTCTGCCTGTTTTGCACACGGGCCTCCGACTCACAGGGCATCGTGGGTAAAGGTCTCCACTCAGGCAGGCTTGAGCTCAGATCACAGTTCTGGGCAATGTTGAGCAAGCTACCCAACCTCACAGCTACTTTGCTCCTGTGTGGAGTGTACGTCTCCTTCCTTTGCAGGTCCCTGTGAGGAGGAGAAATGTGCATCCAGAGCCACCAGGCCACATACCAGTGGCCTGGCATACCTGGAATTCTGCTAGGCCCCTGGGGTACTCGGTGCAGACCCTCTGCTCCATTCTGAACCAGAAGCAGTGTAGGAGCTTGCCTGCATTGCAATAGCCTCTCGTTGATCTCATTTTTCTTCAAGAGCCTGACATTGGCCACACCCATTGCCTATCGCAGCCATCTCCTGCATTCCTTCTGTTCATAGATATTTATCAGACACCCACTATTCCACCCCAGGCCCCTACGCTAGGCACCAGAGTTTCAACAGAGAATAAGATAAACATGATCCCTGCTCTTGCAAAGCTCGGAGCCCAGTGGGTGAGAGACACTGAGCAAGGTTTAACTCAGACCTAAGTGGGTATGTAAGATAATGATTTTTTCTGAAAATCAACTTTTCTACTCTGAATGCCCATCCTGCTGGTTTAGCATGACACTCAACCTCAGCCTTTCTCAGGGATCCCCCACCAAGGTGAAGCAAAGGTCCTTCTAGGGTGTTCAGGCACCAGAGAGGTCTCACCCCCACCCAGTAGGCATCAGGATCAATCCATCCACACCCATTCGGGACCAAGAACAAATGGAACACACTGACCCTACTGCTTCTGATGAGGTGATAGCCCCGTACCCTCTTCTCTCCCAAAGTATTTCCCCAGCCCAGGGGCATCTTGGGGTAGAACTGTCTGGCCATCTAGCTGACTGCCTTGGTTGTGTGTCTTCCCAGGGTGAAGATTCTCCCTCTGAGAAGAGCCCGGGGGCATCCCAAGAGAAGCACGATGGCCTCGCCCAGATTGCACCAGACCTCACAGTGATCCAATTCATCAAAGGTAAGTGAGCTCAGGCCAGGATATAGAGAAGTGGGAGCAGAGGTGTATTGGAGGCTGTACAGGGTCCAGCCCCTTCATCCCCTTCTTGATTTATCCTTCACACCTATGGACCCCTCAGGAGTACCATATACTCCTATAAGTCTTTGCTTATATGATCCCCTCTGCCTGGAACATGAGTTTTTATTGCTATCTAGCAAAATCTTTCTTGTCCCTGTAGGTCAAGCTCAAGTGCTATTCCTCTGCTTCTCCTAACAAGCCTGGCTCTCCCTCCTCTCAGCTCTCTAAACTCTCAGGGCCAATAATCTTTGCTCTGCTTCTCTCAAGGACTATTAGGGGAATCAAATGAAGTGATGAATGGAAAGCCTTTTGTACACTATTAAAAAAATTTACTTCTATAAAGTACAATCATTTTTTTTTTCCAATGATCACCCCTGCCCTATTGCTATTATTCTGACAATGTCCCGGGACAGTAAGTGTGCTGCCTGTGGTTTAGGAGGGTAATGAACATGGGGTTTGCTTCAGCACCCACCCCTACCCCCACTGAGGACTTTTGAAACAGGAAGTTAGGCTCAATTCTTGGAAGTGTGATGTTGGGATACCAGTAATCCAGCCCCCAGTTCTTTAGACTCCCCAGGGTAAGGGGGGGTGGGTGCTGGACTACATGGGGCTGGGCTTAGGGGCAGGAAGGGCTTAGATTCCCTAACCTCAGATCACCCCCAGCTGCTGGAAGGCCCCAGCAGGCTGCTTCATGGGAGAGTTTATTAATCACTGCTTTGGCTTCTGCCCAGAGGGAAGCTGGGGCCAATCACTGAAATTGGATCCTGTAGTGGGTGTCCTGGGCAGATTGTCTCTGGTTGTTTCAGCTTCTCCGTGAGCCTAGAGGAGACTGAGGCAGGGCTAGCCATCGGTCTTTTAGTTGGTCAGCAAGCCTGGCTTCAGGGCTTTCTGCTGAGTTCCAGAGGGATCAGCATGACCTGAGGCTTGGCCTTGACCACATGCGACCACGGGGGGAATCCAAAGGGAGGAGGAACAATGGCCCTGCAGCTGGAAGAGGCCTAAATTCTTGGGAGAAGACAGTCCCTGAATTAGAGAAGGCCCCTGTCTGATAGAGGAGACAACATCCTTGAGTTAAGGGAGGCCCCTGACACATGGAAGAAACATTATTCCCAAAGTGAGGGAGGACCTAGTCCCTGAGCTGTGGGAGGCTCCGGTCTGATAGAGAAGACATAGTCTCTGAATGGAGAGAAGTCCTAGCCTGCCTGATGGAGGAGACACTGCTAAGCTAAGGGAAACAGCTATCTAATGGAGGTGCCCCTGGAGTTCCCCTTCAGGTATTCCTATCTAAGTGAAAGGCATAGCCCCACCCTCCAGGAATTTTCCAGCTGTTCTAGGGACAGGCTGCCGATGCTGAAGAGCCAGAGGATGGGTATGAAGTGCACCTGAGATGATTAACACAGGAGAAGAGGAGAGAAACAAGTAATGAGCTAGAGCCCTCCCACAGCCAGAGGCGCAGGAAGTGGGTGGGGTGGGGTATCCTAGGCCGAATGGCCTTTACACTAGGACTCAGGAAACCCCTGGCCACTGCTGGCCTTGCCCCAGCCTCTCCAGATGAATTTGGATAGGTCCCTGCCCTGCTACGAGCCCCCCTGTACCATGAGGGCACCAATACAGCCTGGGCAAGTCCTGGCCAGGGCAGCTCAAGGATGGAGGGAGGCTGGCACAGGTACCTGGGGTGAAGGCCACCTGTCACACCTTCTCACTCCACCGGCTGGCTGAATGTGTTGTGTGTAGGCCAAGGGACTCAGGACAGGAGGCAGGCCTGGGACACAGAGGAAGGGGAATTCCATGACCCCAGCTCTTACCCACCCATCCTAGACTATTTGTCTTTATTTTTTGGCCTCTAAGGAAACAGTTCCTGGCCTGGCCCAGGGGGCTAGGGAACTAGCTGACTGGGCTCTGGTCATGGTCTGAGGACAGACAGAGATTTCCAGCAACAGAGGAATCCTGCTACTGCAGGAACAGAAGGGACCTCCCACTTGGTGCAGAGGAGCCCCAGGAACAACTTTCCGCACAAGTCCCAACTGCCAAGAGGTTTGCTCCTCCAATGTGTCTTCTTAGAAGGGCAGAGAGAAGAAATGGGTAGGAAATATCAGAAAGGGAGACAGAACATGGAAGACTCCTAACTCTGGGAAACGAACTAGGGGTGGAGGAAGGGGAGGAGGGGGGGCGGGGGTGAATGGGTGACGGGCACTGAGGGGGGCACTTGACAGGATGAGCACTGGGTGTTATTCTGTGTGTTGGCAAATTGAACACCAATTAAAAATAAATTTATTATTTAAAAAAAAAAAAGCAGGGCCTTTCCTCCTCCCTCCCCCACACCTCACGTTAACTTCCATCTCACCTCCTGCAGGCAGAAACACATCTTTCTCTTTTGCTGTTAGTGGAGAGAGAATTGCATGTGTCAGAAGAGAAAGCATTCTTGGTCATCACACTGGCCACCCAGGGTGCAGACGAACGCTTTGGAAGCTCTTTCGAAACTTACCCCATGTTACGTGCCTTTCAGGGTAGCAGATTTGCCCGCACGCAAGGCACCGGTTTAGGAGCTAACAGGGGAGTGGGGAGGTTGTCAAAGCCAGACCCATCACTTGCAGGCCTCTCTCTGTGCTGCTGTCCCTGCTGTGTCCCTAACCCTACAGGAATTCCTTTTCCAAAAGATCCATTCTTCGGGCCCTACTGAAGAGAAGCCACCCAGCACCTGTTCAGTTTTCACCTTCTCTAGAGATCGTACTTCTGCCCCAACATTTTGATACTTGATCATGTATTGGCCTGCATGTCCATTCATTCATTCCCTCATTTATTCCATAAATATTTACTGAGTGCCCTGCTATACCCCAGGCTCTGCAGATTTAGCAATGAACAGAGCAAACAAAAAGCCCTGCTCCAAATGAAGCTGATATGCTGATGGGGTGACAGTAAAATAGCTAAGTAAGCAAAACATGTGGGTAAAGCACCGTGGAGAGGAGAAATTAGGGATGGAAGATCAGAGGAGGGGCTGCTGTCCCATGCTGGGGACAATGGAGGGAAGACAAAAGCCTGGGTTGGCTTGGAAAGAGCTAGAGCAGGACAGGATGAAAAGGACATGGGCAGTGGGGGGGATAAGATGAGTAAGTAGAACAGAAGACATGGAATGAGGTGGGATGAGATGAATGGAATAGAATCTGATAGGAAGTATATGGAAAAGAAATATATGGAATCAAATTTTGGATAGAATCAAAGGGAAAGAGGCACAATCGAATAGCGTGCAATCTCACTCAATGGAATAGAATGAAACTGAGCTTCAAGAGCAGAGGAGAATTAAATGGGAACGAGTCAAACGCAATGGGAAAGAATTGGGTGCAGTAGAATTAAATGAGACAGGATGGAAGGAGTGGACCAGTTTGAACAGGGTGAGACAGGACAGAAACGAAAACATGCCTGGCCTGCCCACTTGACCTCCTCCCTGCTCACCCCAACAGTGTTCCCCAGGGTGCTGCTGCGGACCCTGAGCCACCCCATCTTCCTGCTGGTGGTCCTGTCCCAGGTGTGCACGTCGTCCATGGTGGCAGGCATGGCCACCTTCCTGCCCAAGTTCCTGGAGCGCCAGTTTTCCGTCACAGCGTCCTACGCCAACCTGCTCATAGGCTCCCTCACCATCCCTTCGGCCATCATGGGCATCGTGCTGGGGGGCGTCCTGGTCAAGCGCCTCCACCTGGGCCCCATGCGGTGTGGCATCCTTTGCCTGCTGGGGGCGCTGTCCTGCCTACTTCTCAGCCTGCCCCTCTTCTTCATGGGCTGCCCTACCCACCAGATCGCAGGCATCACCCGGCAGCCTGGGTGAGTGTGTGCTCAGAGCATATAAGAAGCAGGTGGGGAAGGTGTCGGGGAGGGGGTGCAGACAGGGCCAGGGCAGTGGGGTACCCACCCACCTCAAATCTCACCTTCCACCAGCACCTTCACCTCCCCTCCCCTCCTGGCTACAGAGCCACGGGACTGCTCCCTCCAAGCCGGGTCAGGCATCACTAAGAGGGGCGAGGAGGGGATTTCACAGACAGGACAGCTCAGGCCCGGGGAGAGGTGGAAGCCAAGGCACGGCAAAGCCACTGGTGGCATCTCCCGAGGGGCCCCACCTCGTGGGCCAAGCAGAGGTAAGGCACGTCGAGAGCAGGACCCCGCTCAGCGTAATGGAGGCTCCACTCCTGGGCAGGGGAGAGGCCTGCCTGGGAGCCTGCAGGCCTCCATCCCTGGAGGGTGGGGATGTGGAGAGAAGGGGTGAGCAGGGGCTGGAAGGCATCTGTCATGGACACGGCAGAAAGGACTGAAGCCTTAGGGAGGGGTTGGCCTAGAGGCTTTAAAGACCTGGGGTTCTGAGAGCTCGGCAGCTAAAATTCTGTTGTCCCATCACCCTAAAACTCCTCTTTTCCTCCATCGGAAGCAGCACCGGGAGGAAAGCCTCGAAGCCTATCTCCCTTCTCCGTCTCTCTGTCCTCCCACCCTGCCTCAGACATACACCCTCTCCCACTGGGGACCGTCTTCCAGACAGCGTTGGAACTTACATCGCTGCCTCTTCTCCAGAATGATTTCACTTTTCCTGGCAGCTGTTCCAGGCTTAGGCTGGCCCAAGACCCAGCTAGAATTCCCCAACTGCCTCTGCTCCCACCTTTCCTGGGCATCTCCTCCCTCCACCACAGGCTGGCTCTCCCCACCTGAGGGAGGCGCGGCCCTTCTCTCTGGCCCAGGCCCCACAGCACACCCTCTCCCTCATCATCCTTTCCCTTCCCCTCCTTCCTTGTCCCTTCTTCTCCCAGACAGTAAGGCAATTCTGCTGCCTCCTGGCTGCAGAGCCCGTGTTCTAGGCACAGCAGGTGGAGCTTTAGCCAGGCCCTCTGAAGTCCCTGGTCTGAGGAGTGAGCCATGGCCTTTAATATTTTTGTTGTTAATATTTTTAAAGATTTATTTATTTATTTTAGAGCAGGGGTGGGGGGTGGGGGGGAGAGAAAACATGTGCATGGCGGTGAGGGGCAGAGGGACATAGAGAATCTCTAGCCAACTCCCCGCTGAGCACGGAGCCTGGCATGGGGCTCAATCCCAGGACCCCGAGATCATGACCTCAGCTGAAATCAAGAGTTGGCTGCTTCACTGACTGAGCCACCTGGGTGCCCCGAGCCAGGGCCTTTAAATGACTTTTTTTTTTTTCATAAAGTAAATGGAAAAAAAGTCAGCCTAGCACACATGCCTATTTCCCTTTCCTTCTGCCTCTCACCTTGACCCTGACATCTCATCTCATTGTGTTCTCATCTTTGTTCTTGCTATTTACTCCCTGAGATTTGGGTTCTAATTCATTGAAGAAGCTTTTTAGGACCAACTGAGCAAATTCAGGAGACTTTTTTCATATTCCAGCCCAACTAGTGATACTGACAGCTGCCAAGAACTGAGGGTCTCCCATGTACCCAGCGTCCTGCCCAGCTCTTCCCATAGTCTGTGTCATTGAACCTTCACAACATCTCTGAGATGGGTCCTACCGTTATCCCCATTTCACAGATGAGGACGGTGAGGTTCCAAGAGGTGAAGTTGCCCAGCCAGGGCTATCCGGCTGGGAGGGACAGAGCCTGAAGGCAGGGGTCTCCCCACAGGAGCAAGGGGCTGAGGAAGAGCCCCCAGCTCTCATCCAGTCACCTTCCTGCTGCCTGCAGGGGCAACCTGAGGAGTGCCTGCCCCTGGGCAGAAACCCCTGGTGCAGCCTCAGCTCAGGCAGTGCCTGTCCGTTCCCCCTCCTGCCTGCCAGAGAAGCAGGAAGAGATGACCCCCCCCCACTGTCAGAAGGAGACCCCTACCTGAGGGAAGGAGTGAAACTCCCCACTGCCCCATGCCCCCTCCTCACTCTGGTTACCGCTGGCTGACTCAGCAGTTATCCTACCCACATCCCCAGCCCCCTGTGGAGCTGAGCCTCTTCTCCAGGGAACTGAGATCTCACTAAGCTGGCCAGGCCTGCCCCTCTGCCTGCGCCTCTGCCCATACCCACCCTAAGCCCACAGGGCCCTCAGCCACCCACTCCAGCCACCTCCTCCTCTGTAGCCTGGCCGTAGGCTCCCTGGCAGGTTCTCTCCCTCCTAGCCATGAAGTCAGGTCATACTCTGAGCCCCAGGGGCCACCTGCAAATGGCACCTCCCCAGGGTGACCTACGCTCTTGGACTCAGCCTCTCTCCTGATCTCCTGCCCCTATCTACCCCATCCTGCCCCAGCTGACTAGAATGGGGGTATTCCTGGGACTTGGGGGCAGGCCCTCCAAAGGGAGTTACTGGGACTAAGTCATGCGGTGGCCACTGGGACAGTGAGCTGAGAGGTCATGAGGCTGCATGATGGTGATGGGAGGGGATCCCCAGCTGAGCTGACAGGCAGGGATGCTGAGGTCCAGAGAGAGGCAGGGATAGGTCAGTGATCCCACAGCTAGTCAGGTATCCTGATTGGTCCAACATACACAACTCAAATTTTCTAAGAAAAGGAAGCAAATCCAGCCCATCAAGAAAAAGGCACTTTTCATCTAAGACTAAATCCCAGGATGAGTTTATCTTGTGTTTCCTAAAGAGAGACCATTAAGGGATGGAGATATTTGCCAAAGTTCAAAGGCTCATAGGATCCCAGGGCTGGAAGGGGTCTCGGAGGCCTCCATCAGACTCTACTTCCACTCTGCCCATCGGGAGGCTTCCTGCGGCTTCTATCCCATCTCCCTGCTTGCACAACTCCATGACAAGGAGCTCCTCATGGCACCATCACAGGGCAGCCTTGATAGTAAAAACAAAAAAACAAAAAAAAAAAACCACCTCTGTGTGGAGCTAAATCTGTTTAGCTGTTCTCAGGGTGGAGAGCTGTTCAGGGTGGAGGTGGCCCCGGTTCATGGTCTGGGAGGGGGAAAGCCAGGCTAACCCTTCCCACCTTCTCTCCCAGCAGCGACCTGCCTGGACCGGAGCTGTTTCCAGCCTGCTCAGAGCCTTGCTCCTGCCCATTGGATGACTTTAATCCTGTCTGTGACCCTAGAGCCCATGTGGAATACCTCACACCCTGCCAGGCAGGCTGCACAAGTCAGGTGGCCCAGGAAGCTCTGGACAAAAGCCAGGTGGGTCAGGCCTCTGACTGCTCCCTCTGCACCCCCCCTCAGGCTCCGCCCTCCCTGTCTCTGTATGCCTTTCATGCTACCCCATCTTTGAAAATTCTCATTCAGTGGCTCTTTGTCTGTCTATCTATCTGTTGGCCAGTCTGTCTCCTTCTGTTGGCCGGTGTAGAATATGATTCTCACAATAAACTTTTATTGCCCATCTGGGCCCAGCCACGTGCCAGGCCTCAGAGCGCAGGCATGCACCAGATCTGGCTCCAGCTGTCTGTGCAGTGGAGAGGCAAAAGGAAACAAGTCAGGAATTCTGGGGGTGGTGATAGGCAGGAGACATGGTCCCCACAGCTACAGACAAAGATGAAAGAAGATGCATCCTGCCTAGTAGGCTTCCTGGGATGTGGCATCTGTGCTGGATCCTCCAGGATGAGTGAGCAAACTAGAAAAGGGCCTTCCAGGCAGGGGAAAGAGCAGAAGCAGAGTCTGGAAGCAAGCACATGCACGTGGCATGTGCACACATGCACGCAGTGTTTCAAAAAACTGCAAAGAATCTGTTGGAGCAGAAGCCTAAGGTTTCAAAAAGGGAAAGTGAGGCTCAGGCAAAGAAGGGCCTTGAATGCCGGGCCACCAGCAGGGATTTTATTAAGGGAGTGATGGGAAGCATTGGCTAGGCTATGATAGGGTCAGAGCCATGTTGGATCATACCTGAGGCCACAGTATGGAGGAAGATGAGCAGAGGGCAGGCTAGGAGATGGGAGCCAGCAGGGAGCCTGGCACAGTGAGCCCCATCAGTCATTCATTCAGTCAACAAAACTTCACAGAGCCCTCCTCTGGGCCAGGCCCTAGTTTGGGGACAGAGGACCCAGAGTCAAGGGGTCCTACCTTCAAGGAACTCCCAGAGGGGAAGAGAGTGGAATAAGTAGCAGCAGCTACTCCTCCTTTTCCTCAGTGCCCCAGATGACAAATGAGGATAACACCTGCCTTCCTCAGATCCCCCCAGGCTGTAGAAGAGCATGCGTGGGGCTGTGCGGTGTCAGGCTGGCCATCATGACAGCACGTCCCTCTCTCCAGAGTTCCCCACCTTTGTCATGTGGAACTCCTGCCTTTGCATCCTGCTGGGCATCAGTGTCCAAGCCCAAGGCTCCTCCAGGTAGAGACCTAAGCCCCAGGGGCTGTGCAGAGGGAACCACCTGATTGATGGGGCTTCAAGCCAACAGGTGCCACCTGGGCTGTGCAAACTGTTTGCATTTGCAATAATCGCAATCCCAGGCTTTGGGCCTCCTTACCACTCACTGTCTTTGCCTGGTTTCATCTCCCTGAGACCCTTCCAGAGGACCCCAGACCTTGTCAGCTGGGGCAAGATCCCCAAGGGAATAGTCAACTTTTTGTGGATATGGGCCCCTGAGCCCGAGGCCAGGCCCTCAGTTCGAATCCCTGTTCTACTTGTAATTGGCTCTGTTACATCAGGCAAATTATTTAATCTGTGCCTCAGTTTCCTGGTCTATAAAACAGAGGTGATTGTACTGAGTACCTACTGTATACCAGCTACTGTGCTAAATGCTTTCCTCAGGTGAATTGATTGGAGAGTGAGTAAGGAGTCACATGACAAAATCCATGAAAAGCACTTAGCACAGTGGCTGGGAAATTTTAAGCACTTGGCAGTACACACTCCTGTTAGTCCACATACACATGAGAAATGGAGGCTCGGGAAAGGACCGGGCGTTGCCCAAAGTCTTAATGCCAGAGCTGGGACTATAACCCAGGGTTCTGACCTCCCAGCCCAGCCACCTCCCCAGAGCATCCTCAGAGGTTGTGTCTGGACATAGTATTTGGAGGAGGGTGCAGCTGGGTCCTGGTCAGCCCTCAGGAACTGTCCCTCTGACCTGGAATAGTCTTGCAGCAAGCCAGCCTCCTCAGGTGGACTGTGAGCGAGCTGTCAGGACCAGGGCTGGGCGGCTTATTGCCCAGGGTGGCTCAGAGGCCAGGGTGGCTGTGCTCAGTAACTGTGAATGAGTAAATGACCAGGGAGATGATGGGGAGGGGTGGGCAGCTGGTGGGATCTGAGGCTCAGGGGGTGAGGCTGAACCCCCTGGGGAGTGAGAATCAGAGGCAGCTGGAGAGACTGAAGTCATCCATAGGAAGCACTTCCTGCCAAAATTAGACAAATGTGAACGAGAGCCAGGAAAACTCTAAGAGCAGAGCCTCTAGCTTTGTGCCCACCCCGCAATCTTCTGCTACTCTGAAAGGGCGTGGGGGCAGGGTATTTCTCTGCTAGCAACCTTACCTGGAATATTTCTCCCCTTACCTGTCCCTCCATTGTATCTCCAAGCCAGTAGGTTGTCAGCCTGCAGGCAACGCTCCAAATGGCGTATGCTCAGCAAGCTGCACACATGTGGCACCTTAGCCATGCATAGGCACCCTGCAGCGACAGAAGAGCACCCCGTTACCCAAGCCTGAATCCCAGTGTCTCTCTCTCTCTCTCTCTCTCTCTCCTCTCTCACCTTGCCCTAATTCTACCTCCAAAGTATCTCTCAAATCAAAATCTTTTCTCCATCCTCCTTCGCCTCTGACCACTCTATGTTGGGCCTCTTGGCCTGCCTCCACAGTCTGGCCTGTCCTCTTGCAGGGGCCAGAGTGGCTTTTATACTGTCAGCCTCGTCCCTCCCATGCTTAAATTCTTCCCAAGGCTCCCAGACTCCACCTCAGGGACTCCTAACCCTTTTCACAATGGGAAGTATCTGAGGCTGCCATGGCTGGAGGTGAGAGGCTGCCCCAGGCGGACCAGGCCACCTCAAGGGCTGATGGCACCCATCCCTGCACACCCATGTCCCAGCAGAGGCTGAGGCTCCCTGGGACACACTGGTGAGAAACTGTCGTACGGAGAAGAAAAGCCTATGCTTCCTGGCTTGCTTTGCTCCTGCAAGACACCCGAAGGCACTGGCAATCGAGACCATTTCTGAAAGAATTCGAAGCTGGAAGGTGTCTAGGCCACATGGGGGTGGGAATGTGGGTGCAATCAAACACGCCCCTGGGCCAGCCTGGGGGCCATTCCCTGCAGTTTGAAAAGGGGTCACATTTACACATTCTTCAGCCTTTGGAGGGGTCCCAGTTTGTGAAAGAGGAGGAGCCTCCTATTAGACTTCACCATGGCAGGAGGGAGGGCTAGGATTTGTCCTCGGGCCCTCAAGTCCCCAGGCCTCAAAGAGCTCTAAGTCCCTGTCTAGTACAGGTTCTGTAAACATGCTGTGGCCGACACTTGTTTCAGGACTCTGCTCACCAATCCGGGTGCCAGCCTCTCTCAGTACTAACCCTGAACATCTTTCAGTTTCTGCCAGCTTGTGGATGCACTCAGGACACTTTCCAATACTTGACCCAGCATTTTGTGTCAGTGGGATGACTGGCAGGATCCCATTCCACTGTGTTTCTGGACACAGCAGTCCAGGTTTCTCTTTCCAGTCCCAAGCTCTTCACGATGCCCTCCCAGCACAGCCCTCGAGCACCTCCCCTCTGCCCATCCTCGCCTGCACTCTCCACACCAGGCAGACAGATTTAGTTGGGTTCTTTCCTGCCACTTTTATGTGATTTTACATTTGTCCTTCCCTCTACTCATTTCAGTTTTCCTCTTGGCAAACTCCTATTCATTCCTCAAGACCCAAATCCAACAGCCCTCTCTGGTGAAACCTTCCTTGCCCTCATCTGCTGCAGCAGGGTTCCCACTATGCTGTCTGTCTGTCTCTCCTGGGCTTGATTCTCTCCTGGGGAGTCTCCTCTGCAACCGGGTGCCCCAAAAGACGTCAGTAGAGTAGAAAGGGGCGGGGGAACACTGAGCTGGAACATCAGAGTTCCTTCCCCAAACAAACACTCTCAGTTACTTTGATTCCTGGCACAGTCAGGAATTTGGAACATTCTGACATCTCTAGGTGAACGAATGAGAGTTTGTGTGCACGTGCGTGTGTGTAGGTGTGTGGGTGTGTGCTGTGGGACTGTGGTGTGTGTGTGTGAATGCCAGATGTATGTGAGCATGTGTGAATGTGCATGTGTGTGGGTGTGGTGTGATGGGGGGTGATGCTCTCCCAGCCCCTCTCCCTTTCCTGTTCTCCGCTTGCCTCTCCCACGGCCTCAGCCCACGTGTGCATAAAGCAGGGGTTCGGGCACCCGCCTGGCCGCAGGGGTCAGAAACGCCAGCCTCCGGCCGGCTCTACCCTAGCTGGTTAGTGCCCACGGGTCTCTCGCAAGCCTTCTGGGACCTCAGGCGCTTGGCCAGCTGCTGGCCCTTGGAGGCTCCTGAAGGCTTTTCTCCACCCCCTTCCCACTCCAGGTTTTCTACACCAATTGCAGCTGCGTAGCGGGGGGCGGCCCCGTGTCAGCGGGCTCCTGTGACTCAGCCTGCAGCCACCTGGTGCTGCCCTTCATGTTCCTGGTCAGCCTGGGTGCCGCCCTGGCCAGTCTCACCCACACACCTTCCTTCATGCTCATCCTAAGGTGAAAGCAGGCGTGGGCCCTACCTGGTGGAGATCAAGAAATCCTTAACCCCAGACGGGATAAGGGATCCCGAAGGCAGGTTTTGAAGGAGGCCACCTGGGTGTCCTGCTCCCCCACCACCGTGAACAGACCAGATTCTCACTGCCCTGCCTTCGTCCTCATGGCAACCTACTAAAGTGAAGCCCCTCCCCCCCACACCCATTTATAGATTAGAAAACCGAGGCTCAGAGAAATTCAAAAGCCAGACCCAAGTGTTGTGGCAAGTGTTGGGTAGAGTAGTACTGAGAGCCAGGCCCCTATTTGCCCCAGGGGAGTGGAGGCCACACTGAAGGTCCTGACCCAGTTACCCAGTCACAGGGAGGAAAAAGTGGAGTGTCACCTGACTGCCCACCTCGACCCTGCCTATAGTTACAGGGTGGGCCACAGGAGGCACATGGAGAAAACCAAGCCCTGGCAGTGTGGTTCATGATTCTTCAAGCCAATGAGCCTGATATACGTCCACGGTGGGCCCAGCCCACGAAGAGCAGTGCCTCTTTGTCTAAGATCTTTTTTTTAATTATTTATTTATTTATTAATGAGAGACACAGGCAGAGACACAGGCAGAGACAGAAGCAAGTTCCATGCAGGGAGCCTGACATGGGACTCGATCCCGGGTCTCCAGGATCATGCCGTGGGCTGAAGGTGGTGCTAAACCCCTGAGCCACCCGGGCCGCCCTGTCCAAGATCTTTCTGGCCATTGTCCTGAGGTAGCCTGCTGGGACTAACAAATTGTTACCTGAGGCCAGAGTCAGCATTTCTAGGGTGGGGACAGGAATAAGGGGACCTCAGAGCAGAATAATCCCAAGTTTTCCTTATGCTGGAGTTACTTTTATTCCCTATCTGCTTTCTGGAAAAGTAAAAGGGGGATGGCACTTCCTTACAAATATGGAAAGACACGTAGATCTATAAAACTTATGGCCACACGAGAGAAGGTAAAGGAGTCAGGTGTCCCGGCAGACAGCCTGGGTAAGAGGAGTTAATGCCAGCAGTGTGCCACAGATTCTGACTCTCGACACCCACCATCTGTGGGATCTTAACCAAGTCACTTAACCTGTCTAAACATTCATCAGTCTCCCAATCTATAAAATGGGGCTACCAGTATAACCTACCTCACGGGGGTGATGAAAGGGTTGCAGTATAGAATGAGCCCTTAGCAAGCACTCTACAAACACCAAGTGCTGGTATCACTAAGGAGGAGCCAGTGATTGCCTGGGCACCCTAGGCCAGGGCCTCACAGTGCTTGGGTCAGTTAGAAAGCATATTTGGCTACCTAGTTTCAGGTTGTACCAAGCATAGGAGGAAGGGGTGAGGAGGGGGGGGTGTGTGTGACCAAGAACACAGGGAGGCCTGCCCAGGGTCCTGATGGCTGGTGAGAGTGCCTGGAATGGGGGGGCCTGGGCTCCACAGGTTGAAGGGAAATGGGGAGCCTGAGCCCATCCCCAACCCCACCCCTAGGACCCTCAGACTGGGGGACGGTTGGCCCTGGGTGTGAGAGAGAAGGGGATGATGAGAGTCTCCATGAGGCTGGGACCTCTTAATCCTCCTGTCGCTGTGTTTCTGCTTTTAGGGGAGTGAAGAAAGAAGACAAGACGCTGGCTGTGGGGATCCAGTTCATGCTCTTGAGAGTTTTGGGTAAAGAACCTTCCTGGGACCCTTAATTCACACACTCATGGTGTGCCAGGCCTGGGGACACAGGGATGAGCAGGACCCAGTTCCTGACCTTAGGGTTCACAAGTCCATGGGACAAGAGATTGGACCTGGTACCCTGGAGGTGAGTGTGCAAACAGCTAGAAAGCCCTCCAGAGAAGCAGCATCTCACACCAGGATAAGGGATGGGCTCGAGGGTCAAAGACTTATGGGAAAAGAGGCCCCAGTGGGCCTGGGGGTTGTGTCTCCCAGGGAGTAGGGGGGCTGGGTAAGGCAAGAATGCCAGGCCCCATTGTCCCCTGACCACCTTCTCCTTCAGCCTGGATGCCCAGCCCTGTGATCCACGGCAGTGCCATTGACACGACCTGTGTGCACTGGGCCCAGAGCTGTGGGCGTCGGGCCGTTTGCCGCTACTATGACCACGACTTGCTGCGAAACCGGTAAGACCTGGGGTGGGAGCTGCCAGGGCCCTGCGGGAAGGCTGCTGGAAATACTCCTGGGGTCCCAGGTAGGACAGCAGCAGGGATGAGAGGCCCATTCATATCGCCCCACCAGGTAGCAGGTGCTACATCATGCACTGAGCTTACCAGTCCTATGAGCTAACCACAATCCCCCACTCTTATGGATGAAGAAAGTGAGACTTAAAGCAGCCCAAGGTCACACGGCTGACAACTGGCAAAGCTGGGCCTTGAACCCAAATGATCTAACCATGGTCTGTGCAGGAGCATTTGTCATCATGGTTGAGTGTGGGGAGAATCAGGGGAGCAGCCCAGCTGTGAGAGAGACAAAGGGTTGGGGTTGGGAGAAGGCCTATCTAGGACACAGGAGGCCTGAGATCAGCCCAGCTCTGTCTCTTTTTGTTGGAAGACCTGCCTTTTCAGGAACAGAGTCTTCCCATCTGAGCAATGGGGAGCCTAAACAAACCCAAAGGCAAAGAGGCTGCTGGGATGGCATAGGAGGTGGGAAGGGACTTCCTAACAGGGCTGGGAGCAGGGAGCTGGTCCCTGCCAGCTCTGAGGAGGGCATGGATCCTGTGGGTGGGACTCGCCAGGGACCTTCCTAGAGGAAGGAAAATCAAATAAGAGCCTTGGTGAGTTAGGCAAACAGGGGAGAGCGAATCCTCCTTGTGGGAGGTGGGGTGAGCTCAAGTTGCATCTGTCGGGTCCCCTGAGCCCTTAGACAGCCAGAGAGAGGCAGGGCTGACCCAGGCTACAAGCCAGCCAGGGTTGGGACACAGAGGCTCCTACTGCAGAGCCTCTCCCCCTCTACCAGGGAAGGACCCCCAGAGGGGTCAACTCCAGGGGCTTCCTCATCTCCCTAACTAAGCCCATGGTGACAGTCCATTGCCCTAGGCTGGCTGCACGCCTCTTTCCAACTCACCCCTAACCAGGCCTCCATGTCTCTGACCACATGATGGGTGATGGCTGCTGACCCCACTCTGCCCCACCCCAAGGACACCCAAGCCCTGGACAGGGAGAGCTTGAGTTCACAGGTCCCTTTCTCTTTTCCAGATTTATTGGCCTCCAGTTCTTCTTCAAGACAGGATCCCTGGCCTGCTTTGCCTTGATTTTGGCCATCCTAAGGCAGCAGGTCAAAGAGGAGGGGACCCAGGTGACCGTATCCACCTCTGGCCCACAGCAGCAGCTGTTAGCATCAGGGCCAGGAAAGAAGCCTGAAGAATCCAGTGTGTGAGCCGGCCCTAGAGCAGCAGTCATAGAGAGTACCTCCTCTGGGCCCTTTGCCCAATTTTGGGTGTCAGGAACCCTGTTTTCCAATTCTGACGCCTCTGCTAACTTGTTATGTGACTTCAAGCAAGTCACTGACCCTCTCTGGGCCTTTGTTACTCATCTGAACCAAAGAGTTATCTAGGGGTTTGGTGTGTTTGGTCACTTCCAAAGCACAATGGCCTTCCCCCTTCCTCCCCCAGCCAGACAGGCTGACCTGAGCCAGACTTTCCTGATGGAAGGACTGTATATCTCTCCCCCAGGCCCTAGGATAGAGAAGTAGACAACAGTAGGCCAGGCTGGTTCTAGCCCAGCTCTGCTGTTTATGTGGAGCACCTTACACTCTCTGGGCCTCAGCCACCATCTCTGACAGGTGGAAATGGACTTGCCAGCTTTCAGGCCCTTTCCAGCTATGGCCAGCTGTGTGGTCAGGATGGACTCAGGTCTCCTCCCCAGCCCCAGGCAGTCTGGAGGTGGGGCCAGGACAGCCTGTCAAGAAATGTCCACTTGGCGCCCCCTGGAGGCAGAGCGCTGAGGTGAGGGGGAGGCCCCCACTAGGAGGAAACTGGCCTCTCTGAGTATCCAGGCTGGTCAGGGCCTTCTGCAAGCCTGGTGTGAGGGGCCCCTGGGGGACTTAGCTGAGGGGGAAGGCTCACTCTGTAGACTCAGGAAATCCCAGTCCTTGCCCTCAGGGAGCCACAGTCTGGATGAGGCCTGGTCTCTGTGTTAGGAAATCCAGTGGGGAGGTGGATCCAGGCCCCACACTTGGGTATTTTCTGACTTCAAAGACCAAACACACTTAGCGCACATCCACTGATACTTATGCATTGCCAAGACTTCCCACATTTGACCAGCGCCGCTAAAACCATCATGATCCTCATTGACTAGACTCCTAATTTCACCATTTCCTTCCAGGTGCCTGAATCTATGTCACCTAGCACTATGTAGATAATGTCTGGTTCTGTCATAACCATGTTTTAGGGGTAACATCTGGTTCTCTGTGATGCCTGGGTTGGTGTAAAGACCTGTTCTTTGTAAGGCTGAGGCCTGTAACGTCCAGCTCTCTGTAATGAGTGGATCTGTAGAATGCTTGGGTCTGACCAACTGGTCCTTGTCTTGTTTTATGGCCAATCTTATTCGGCCTGGTTATCCCCACCAGGAAGGAGGAGGGAGTTTCCTGATCTACTCCAGCCCATTTTGTTGCCACTACACACCTGACCTGACCAGGACCTACTACTTGGTAGGCAGGAGACAGAGCTGTGGGCAGCAGCTTCCCAAGCCCTGTGTCCAACCCTGTGTTGGAAGCAGGGGAGAAGCCGAGGGCCGATGGGGGTAGTGGGGGCACATGTGGTTCTAGCCCTCTGAGCAGCTCCTGTAGCAGGGCCTTGAGGTTCTCCTTGAGGTGAAAGAAGAAGAAGAGGAGGGTACAGAAGTTCTAACTCCTATTTTGATTCTACTGGTTGATACCTTTAAATGTTTTATAAATATCTGAGTCTGTATTTATCAATGCCAAGAATTTCAAAATTTCCTCCAACAAGATGAAGCAGTTCCCATGTTAATATTCCTTCTCATTCCTTCTCATTCCCTCCTGTTTCCCAGGTTTTGCAGAAATAATCTGGAATTATAGACACAGCTTATTATTAAATTTGTTCTTGCATAATGTCTCTTATATTACAAAATTCCTTTCTTACCAATTGCCTTAGAGTTTGCAACAACCACATTATTTCCAGTTATTTATATTTAAGTTTTTACTGGATTCATTGCTATTATTTCTTGTATATGTCATCTTTCCCTATCTGTATATTCTGGTCTAATCTTCATTTGACTGGGCTACTTCCTCTAGTAATGGTTTCAGAAATGGAATAAGGTCATGAAGCTTTCCGAGTCCTCACCTGTGCAGACTGTCATTCACATTTTACAGAAGAGGAAATAGTTTAGAAAGAATAAGCAACTTTCCCAAGATCATACAGAATAGAAATAGCAGAGCCAGGATTTTGTGGGAAATGAAGCTTATATACTTTGTGGAGCCCTTTTTAAGAAAAAGAACACAAAATTAGGTAAGTATAAGAAAGTGAATATCTAGAACAAGAAAAGTCAAGGCAAATACATGACACAATTTTTTAAAAATAGCTTATTTTTTTACAAACTGTTGTGCACACATCTAAAATACATTCCCCCCCCTGATGATTGGAAGGATTTTCTGCAGCCTAGCTTCTGGTTCCATCATTGCAAACCTGTTTTTCCTCCGTTGTCCATGTGCTACCAGGGCCAGACTGCATAGTATATGTGCTGCCGAAGCGAGCACTGGGCCAGACTGCATAAGGCACATTCATGGCACAAGATGACCTCTGGATATGACACTTTGATCACAATGCCGAGTGAGTTGGACAGTGGGTAGGAAGGTTCCTAGAGGCCATTCTCTACATGCAAGTGGCTAGCAATGAGTTATCTAGATACAGAGGCGACTGAGAACCGTATAAATATAGCCCAATGAACCAAAATTAAGTTGATTCCCAACTCAACTGCCCCTTAGCCAGATCCCAGAAATGCCCACGGCCCCTCCAATCACCTCACATAAAGAGAAACTGTGCACAAGCAGTTGGAGTAGAAAGAACTAGCAACCTTAACTGCTCGTGGTTCAAGTATCTTACCTTTGCAAATTTCTCAAGAACACGACAACCTGAACACATTGCAGGGGCCCCATCCTGAGCCTGGGGAGAGACCCTGATACTCAAGCAGCATTAGCTTCATGTTGAGTCCATCTCTGGGTCAAGGTGAGATTTGAAGGAGAAAGTGAGGTCTTTATGCTTAAAACCCCCCAGGCTGGTCAGGGCGAGGAGACCCCAGGAGTCAAAACAAGAGAGACACCTGGCTGAGAGCCAGGGGTAGAGCAGGTCAGGCAAGGGAGTCCAGGGAGCAGCCCTCTTATGGCTTCTGGCCAATGAGGAGCTGCAAGCAATTGCATCTATGAGCTCACTTTCTTTTCACCCAGCGTCCAAAGGCTGGAAGACGGCATTGTCCCCATGCTAGAGCTGACTGGTGATAAAACCCAACAGTTTCTCCTGGGACATCCCAATGCCTGGCCTGGAGGCCCTTTGGCCCACAGACCTATACTGGAAAGTTGCAGCAGGCAGATGCCGCTCCAGAGCCAGGAGCCAAGAGCCATGACTGGAGTGCAAACAAGTGAAGAGCAAGAACCCACAGCACTTCACCATTCTTTGGCCCTGTTGAATTCCTACTCCCTAACAGACCCCAATGTGTGCTCTTCCTTCTACCTTCTTCATCCCCACCCTACTGCTTGCCTCTCTGTCCCACTTCATGAATCAAACCCAATCTTCCAGACCAGACTCAGAGGCCACCACCTCTAGGGAGACAGCCTGGTACAGGTAATGGAGAGTGGATGACAACCACCTTAGAGAATGATAAAAGATGTTTCTCCAATAAAGTTGCACACAATCATATACACACCTGTGCCTCTGATTTCAGAGGTTGGGGATCATCTGAAGTCTGGCTACAGACCTCCAGTGGACTGGACGGAAGAGAGGTTTAGAGTCAGTGAGTTTTGGGTTCAAATTCTGACTGCCACTTACTCTCAGTGTGACCCTGAACAAGTGATTTAACTTCAATGCATCTGTTTCTTCACTTGCACAGTAAGGCTGATCATTCCTATTGCCTGTCTCCCAAAAGTTGTAAAGACCAAATAATGACATATTTGCTCACAGGCAGTGCACCGGATGATCAATATTTGTAAGTTTCCTTCCCCCTGTCCCTGAAATAATTTAAGGAGCACAAAGAGCATGGGGGCAGGATTGAGGGTGAAGATAGAGGGAGGAGGCCCCAATGAGGGGAGACACACCCCCTTCTCTGCCCTGGCTGCAGCTTTGCTTGTCCCCTAATCTCCCTTCCACTGTCAGCCAGGACTCAGCCTGCCCAGTCTTATCTCTCCCCACAGCCAGCCCTGGACAGCTTTTCTCAACTAGATTTACATTTTTATTGATTTTCTTTCTCACTTCCAGAGCGTCCCTTCCTCTGCTTCCCCTTTTGCTATAAAATGGGCTTACCCCGGGAAACAGCATTCCTGGGGCTGGCCAAGAAGTGATAGATCAAGGCTGGATTCATCCACCAATCTCATTCATTCAACCACCCACCCAACTGATAAATCCTACACTGGCACTGGTGGGGACACAGTCAGTGTCAGATACAGCAAACTCCCAGTGTAAACAGACAAACTTGACAAACAGGAACAAAAGCATGAGTTGTCTATCAGAGAAGGAAAAAGAGGAAGCCATGAACTCTTCCTGGGGCCACCAGGAAAGGCTTCCAGAAGAGGTCAAATCAGAGCTGCCTCAGGAGCTAAGGCAGGAAGTACCCAGGTGGAGAAGATGGGAATGGGCATATGAAACAACAGGATGAGCAAAGACAGGGAGGCACGAGAAAGTAAGGTGTGTCTGAGATAGGATACAAGAGCAACATGGCAGGGGTGTACCATGTGTATAGGGCAATTGAGAAAGACAGGAGAGCTGAGGCTGGACACATAGCGGGGACCAAGCCTTGAGTTCCAGCTGAAGGCTTTGGATATCTTCCTGAGGGCAAGGAGAAGCCCTTGAAGCATTGATTGATGGATTATTCCATTGACTGGTTATTTTAGGCAGGGAGTGACAGGACGAGATTTGTGTTTTAGAAAGCCTGCTGGCTGCACCATGGGGGCTTTGAGTGGAAAAGGAAAGCTGGAGGCCAAGAGCTCAGGCAGGAGGCTGGGGCATTAATCAAGGGGAGAGAAGTAGGAGGCCTTGAACCAGGTCAAGAGAGGCATCCTCAAAGTGGGGGCATCTAAGCCAAGTCTTGTAAGATGAGTAGGAATACACTGGGTAGAGAAGTTGGGAAGGGTGTCCAGGGAGAAGAAATGGCACAGATGAAGTCTCAGCATACAGAAAGCTCCCGGCAGGCTTGGGAAATTTCCACTAGCTCAGCAGGGCTGCACTGTGGCCTAACAGAGAGGTCATGGTGAGGGATGAGGCTGGAGGTGGGTTGGGGCCTTCAATTTCTCTCAGTATTCTCTGTCTCTTGAAGCTAGACTCAGGTGGAAGAGAAGAGTGAGCACCTGCCACTTGTGCAGAGGCAGCTGTGTGGGGCTGCCTTCCCTACAGATAGGAGAGCCCTGGGTCACCGGTGCTCCCAGAGACCTTTCCATAATCATGACACTTCACATTTTACAAAAATCCCCTTATGCCTGAAATTCATGGTTTCCTGGTGAGGCATGTGGAATGAGGATTATATTCCCCATATGGCAGACAAAGAAACCACGGCCTAGAAAAGTGCAGGAAGTTGTCCAAGGTCACTCAAAAGCCTTTCAAAACTCCACTGTTTTTTTCTAATAAAACTTCTTATTCCAGAATCACATATACACACTAGATGATGTAGTGGCTGCTAAACACATCAGAGAAAGAGACCTCCTCCTTCTGTTCCCAGTTCCTTAACCTTCACCCTATGACACTCCAGCTGAGAAAACAGAACCAGGTTCCCTCTGCCCTGGAAGCCAACAGGCATGAGAGCAAATCCCAGCTCTGCCACTTTCCAGGCGTGAAAAGTCACTGCCCTCATCTCAGCATTGTTTTTCTCATCCTAAAAATGAGAGAAATAAACTCCACCTTTTCTGGGTCGTTGTGAGGATTCAATGTGACAATACAGCACCACAGGAGTTAACTACTGCTGAGTGACAAACTACCCCCAAAACTTAGTGGCTTAAAACAACACATTTATTATCTCACAGAATTTCTGACGATTAAGAACCCAGAAGTGGATTAACTGGGAGATTGTGGTTCAGGATCTTTCATGAAGTTTCAGTCAAGTGTCAGTCAGGGCTGAAGTCATCAGAAGGCTCAACTGGGATCCACTTCCAGGCTCACTCTGTGGTTGTTGTCAGGACTCTGTTTTTTGCTGGCAGTTGGCCAAAGGGTTTAGTTTTTATGTAAGCCTCTCCACAAGGGTACTCTTGTCATGGTAGCTAACTTCCCCTAGAATGAATGATCCAAGAAAGAGAATGTGTCCTATTGAGATGGAAGCCATGGTGTCTTTTATAATGTAATCTTAGAATTGATATATCATAACTTTTGCCACATTCTATTGGTCACACGGTTATACCACAACTCTAGTATAACGTGGGAAGGGGATACAAAAGGGTGTGAATACCAGGAGATGTGGATCATTGGAATCCATTTGGAAGCTGCTTACAAGTGGCCAGAGCAGTGTCTGGCATACAAATAGGTACTTATTCATTTGGTAGCTGCTATTATTCTCCCAATGCTCATAGACTGCCTGGGACAAGATCTGAACATGAAAAGATGAGTTTGGCAAAGTAGACTTGAATTGGGTGATGCTCAATTATATGGTAGAAGAGGATGTGCTGGACAAGGGTGGAAATCAGGGTGGGCTCCCTGGCAGCTGTGAAGAGCACAAGGAAGGCCATCCAGAGAGGAAATAGAGTAAGTATGGCAAGCACTATTGGTTGCCTTCCCACAGCCAATTCCCTCTTCCTTGTTCTGGTAGCAAGATGCCTGGCCACAGGGATAAGCCAAACATTTATGGAAACACCTTCCTCTTCACCAGTGAGTGGTCTAAGAGTGGACATATGACCTCATTTTGGTCAATGAGATACAAGAAGA